ATCTTGTGATTTTGGTGTAAATAAAAGAGAAAGATCAACAATCATACACGTAAGTACATGTTTATCCAATTTTTATTTGTTTGGTTAATAAAATTCTCCAACTTATTATTATTCTATCGGTTCAATTAGTCTTACTTGGCAGCTTATGGAAATTTCCAAAATATATTTATCTTCATGCAAACAATTTAAACAAAGTCACTTAAATTGCTATTAGAATCAGCAACCTCTAGAAAATCACATATTCTGATATTCCTTTATACCCCACAAAAAAAAAATCTATTCAAAAGCAAATACGATCCACACAATTAAAATTAGTGGACACAAATTCTTGAACAACTTTTAAAACATTTATCCACATAACACCATTCACAAAATCTCTAAACCAATCCACACACATTTGACACTTCCAAAATGGCCACCGTTGCTAACTTCTTAGCTAAACCAATCGCCACCGTAATCCCACGGCCATCCTCCGCCGTTGCCTCCACCTCCTCCTTCGTATTCTTCGACCACAATCACAACTCTTTAACCCTTAGAAAAAACTCACCAAGAAGACTATTATTCTCCACCGTGAAGGTTAAGGCTGGAGCGGCGTCTCCGGGGAAGGTTGGTTCACCGGCGGCGAAAGACGAGAAAGTTGTAAAGATTCATAGTGGAGAGGAATTCGACGAGGCGCTTAAAAACGCGAAGAGCAAGCTTGTGGTTGTGGAGTTTGCTACGAGTAAAAGTGATCAGAGTAACAAGATATATCCGTTTATGGTGGAGCTGAGCAAGACTTGTAACGACGTCGTTTTCTTGCTTGTTATGGGTGATGAATCTGACAAGACCAGAGAGCTTTGTCGGAGAGAGAAGATTGAGAAAGTTCCTCACTTTAGCTTTTATAAGAGCATGGAGAAAATACACGAGGAAGAAGGTGATTTCAAATTTGCCCTTACTTCTCTAATTAACACAAAAAAGCTTGAATTAGTCCGGTTAAATTAATCACAATAAGAAAATATAAATAGGAAGTGGATCTTTTAGTAATTATGATGCTCATGATTCTTAGACAAATCTCTCAAATTAAAGTACACAATCTCTCAATGTTCTAACTATATTTGGGTAGATTGCTCGCATAATTACAAATTAAGTTACTGGTTGGTAACCTAAACCTATAAGAAATAGCTGTAAGTCTGTAACATATTTGATAATGTTTTTTGCATTGATGTTGTAACACTAAATTATATTGAATTTTTTAAGGAAGACTCAATATAACTACACGAATTCGTTTTACAAATTCCATACGTTTAAACATAAGCAAATTTTGTTATATAACCAATTTAGGTTTGTAAGAAAAAGTTCGGCTAGTTATATGACAGGAAATCTAGTATAGTGGCAAAGACGTAAATAAATTGAAAACTTTGATTATATGACAGGTATTGGACCGGACCAGCTAATGGGAGACGTGCTATACTACGGAGACAACCACTCGGCAGTGGTGCAGCTGCACGGTCGAGCTGACGTGGAGAACCTGATCGACGAGAACCGAACTGGAGGAAAGCTGATCGTGCTCGACGTTGGTCTGAAACACTGTGGACCATGCGTCAAAGTCTATCCTACCGTGTTGAAACTGTCCCGGTCGATGTCGGAAACCGTCGTGTTCGCTAGAATGAACGGTGACGAGAACGATAGTTGTATGGAGTTTCTCAAGGACATGAAGGTTATCGAAGTACCAACTTTCTTGTTCATTAGAGACGGTGAGATTTGTGGTCGTTATGTTGGTTCCGGTAAAGGAGAACTCATTGGAGAGATTCTCCGGTACTCTGGTGTTCGTGTTACTTATTAATTTGTATCAAAACTCGATTTATTAAAAAAGAAAATGCTTTTTTAATTTGGGTTTTGTTTGTACCACCATATGAAAACTCAAAAAAAAAAATGTGATTCTTGAATTGATTTTACTTTGTGTTTTAACTTTGAAGCCACGTAAATTGAAGTTTTTTGTGTAAGTGAATGAGATGTAATTGATTTGTACCTACCCAATGACGATGTTATTCTATATATACACATTAATATCATTTTGTGTGTGATACTATATTAATGGTTGATTGTGATATACATTTAATATATGGACAATTTGGTGGTGGAAGGATATTGGTTGTTGTCATGCACATTGTCACTCAAGGAAAAAACACAAAATTTAATTAGTAATTTTAATAGTAAGAAAAAAATGTAGTAAGAGAGATTTTTATTTGAACAGAGCAAAATTGAACCGATAAAGATATTCTTCACAAAGAAACATATATATACACATAAAAAAAAAGATTCAGTATGTATAATGATGATCATTTTATAAAGTGAATTGCTGTAAATTTATAGATACATATTGAAAGAAAAAAGTGAAAAAATGGAAAAGGAAATTTAAATCAAGAGATTTGAAGATGAAGCGGTTTAGGTGGATCCATGGTTCTTCTCTTCCACAAGTTAACTTCTTTCTTAGGTTTCAAACTCAACGGAGCTGAGAAAGGTATTATTATA